CTTGTATAAATGGGTTCTTTTTTCTATGGTGTACAAGTATTTTATTAGTTTGAAGAGAGCCTATTTGTTGTTAACCTTGAAAAGTGGAACTTCCAAGTTTTTTTGTTGAATGTTGAATTTGTTTTAAAAAAAAACAAAAAAAAGGTACTTGCTTACCTTTCAATGTTGAAGATACCTTTTGTAAATGCAAAAAGATAAGATAATTACTGTTTTCAAAGATTGATAAGTTACACTGAATGATTTATTGTACTTTTATATGTAACTGCCATAGGACTTGTATAAGATAGAGTGGTATTTCAAACAAATTGATCATAGGTCATTTATTTGGCAAAAGTTTTAAATTCTTGTCGGTTAAACTTCATGATAAATTCTTATGTGCAATTCTTATGCCCAGTTTTGATGCGGAAGGGGTTTGTAGATTTGCCATGACTTTCAGTCCAGTTGTCCATCTGAAAACTGAATAAATAGTGGAGTGTCAGGGCTTAAATTTTTTTTCTTTTCTCTCAAAAAAAGTTCTTTCAGTGTGTTTTTGGTTAATTTTTGTCAGGAAGCCAATGTGGAAAAATACATGTAGAACGTAGAATTTATATCTTTTGTCATTTAATAAAAAACAAAACTAAAAAATTTGTTTAACATTGCAGAATTTGAGATTTCTATAACATGTATCATTTCTTTAGAAAATGTAAGCCGCGTCACGACAAAACCAACATAATGAGTTTGCAGCCAGCATGGATCCAGACCAGCCTGCGCATCCAAGCAGATGGATCAGGATCCATGCTGTTTGCTTACAAACCCTATAACAAGTAGAGAAACTGATAGCGAAAAGCATGGATCCTGGTCAGACTGCGCTGATGCGCAGGCTGGTCTGGATCCATGCTGCTCGCAAACCCATTTTGTTGGTTTTGTTGTGATGCAGCTCATTTCATTTGAAGTGATTTTTGAAATTTCATAAGAAATAAATTCATTTTATTATTAAAATATGTTTAAATTCATTAACAAGAAGCCAAGGCTTATTAACTGTAATAACAAATGTAATAATAAAAATAGTACTACTAATAATAATACAATAAAGATGAAAAAATGAGGACAATAATTAGAACAATAATAAGAAGAATTTATATTGAACTTATGACGTGGAAACATGGTTACATTGTGCAGACTTTTTATACCTTTTCATTTTATTTATTGTAAAGTAAAGTCAAAAACAATTTTCTTTAAATTTCAAATACAGAATGTACAGAATAATAAAAAATTCACAACAAATTGTTTGAGCTTAAGCAATATGTTTCATATTCTTCCAACATGTTGTGTTTATTAATAACTACTCTGTTGTCATTGCCAGATAAGGTGTGACATCAGCAGAACTGTTGAAAGTGTCAGATATCACTGGCATTCTTGTCATGTTGTTGGCATGATGTCATAATGTAACTGACCATGGCGTAAGTTACCAATACTTTACACGTCAGAATTTTTTTGTTCAAAACAATATGTCCATCGGTTGTTATGTGTACTATACCCTTATCTAAATGATAGTTAGCCTGCTTAGTTCAATTGGGAGAGTATCAGATTTGCAATCATTGGGTCGCAGGTTCGATCTTCGGGCAAGACAATTGCATTTGATCTCGGACGTTAAGCGTAATTGTCATTTTGTCTCCCTGAATTATAACTATATGGCATTAGTTGTTGATCACTTTCTGAGAAATTTGTAACTACTAGTTAGTCATCCAGGAAGGTCTGTTAGCCTTGGAGGACTGGTCGCCAAGTTTTAACAGAATTTGGTATAGTGGGCATGAAAAACAGCAGAGCAAAATGAATCTTAGCAATAATGACGTGCCTATTGCCAGTCTGAAAAGACATGTGTATTTTGATATTTGATATTGAAGTCCCTTAAACTATAGATGGACTGTCCCAAATTCAAAGAAGGACAAGTCCATTATAAAATTTCAGGAGGTTGAAGATGATAAAATGCCACCAAAATGTTTGCTGTTACCAAGGGTAAAATGGTGGTGTTGCTGTCAAGATTAAGGAACGCACAGGAAGTGAATATTGTCATTTCATTTACAATTAATATTTATATTGATTTTCCAAACAGCACCTTTCCTTTCACAGTGATGATAGGTAATAATTACATAACAAAATTAGCAATTTTCAGTATTACAATATTGACGTTTACAATGATTTTACCAGTTTTCTATCTTGAAGGGATTTTATTAGAGGAGGGGTTACTGCTCAGAGAAGACAAGATCCTATCTGCTTCTTCAATTTTTTTTGTACTTGAGATAATATTCTCAAGAGGCATTGTTTAAAGATTATTTTGTTGACTTGTCACTATCCTAGTTCATTATCGACATTGATTTGAGTAAACTTTATTGGAGTTATTTCCCATTGATTTTAGTCTGATTTCCCTTTAATAAAGTTTTTTTGCAACAGAATTTTATCAGTTTAACCCTTTGTTGGTCAGTGAAGTTACACTGTATATAACAAGTAGGTACATTTTTGTATATAACAAGTAGGTACTTTTTTGTATCAATAAATGTCAAATTGGAAAAGGCTACCATTGAATTCATTTGGCAACCTAAATACTAAATCACAAACTTGAAAGTCATGCTAATCAAATGTAACAGAACAGATAGGTAATTTCATAACTTACAATATCAATAGGTAGCTTGTTAAATAACATATGGTTTTAAATCTATAATTTGCTTGATTGTGGACTTTTTACTTTTTACCTTAATTAAAGTCCTTACTTGGTAATCTGATATGATGTAAGGTGGTAGGGCACTGTGATATGATACAATTTGCTGGGTATTAAACATTTAGCGCCAGTATTTGAGTCATATGCAAGTAGGCACTTTCTGGATTTTTGTTGTATCAGTACCTGAGTGCTATCTGGTTTATCTTCTTATATTAATCAACAACTATTTTGTATAACTTAAACAGCAGAAGAGGCATATGAGAATTAAACATTGTTTTGGCAAGCAAATCATTAGCCTTGGCCACAACTTAAAACTTGTAAAATTTCAGGTTTGTTTGTTTGTTTCATTTGGTTTTACATCACACTGACACAGTATAGGTCATATGGCGACGTTCCAGCTTGACTGGTGGAGGAAGACCTCAAGTCCCCTTCTGTGCATTATTTCAGGCATGAACGGGCACCTGAGTACAACCACCGATGTTCCATGGATAGCTTCCTCACATTAAAGAATCCAAAGTCCCTGTCGGGATTTGAACCTACATCAGTGAGGGGCAAGTGGTTTGAAGACAACAACCATAACCACTCGGCCTTGGATGCCCCCAAAATTACAGGTTTACAGACATAACTTGCGCATTTCATTTCTGACACTGGCGGGCCTAAAGTTGTTGTAAGAATATTTTTATCTGTGTTTATTGATAAATGTAAATGTCACCTTTAGAGTATAATACCGTTTTAATTAACATGCTTCTTTCAATTAATTGCTCAATTTGAATAATTGAAACAAAACATTCCATTTATTTTTGTCAAAATTTTGAAACAAGTAGCATGTTGTTTTCTATATCTTGAAATACAAAGGGGTAAATTTCAAAAGGTATGTTCAAATAACATGTACATGTATTACTCTTTCTACAAACAATATAAATGGACAAAAAGGGTAAGTTCAGGTCACAAAAGACAAGTTTAAAGTTTTACTGTAAATTAAAAAATTTTAAAATACCAGTATACAATATTGGCAGCAGATTCATATATAATTGTTGAAATGTAAATTCTTCTTAAAGAAGCTCCACTGAGGTGAAAAAGCCTAAAAACATAAAATTTAAAATTCTTATATAGATCAAGTGAAGCACTTTAAATGGAAAAATCTTCTAAGGAAAATAATGAAATATACTCATAATTAAATTTAATATAATTTTTGTGTGCAATTTTCAGCTTGATTTGAGTCATTTAACATAATAAAAGTGATTAATGTGGAAAACTGGATGAGGGAATAATCTGACCATTTGCTCACAAGCTTTTTCTCCAGACCTACATGAAATGGTAAAAATATTTCAAATCCTGTCACATCCTGTCCTCAGCAGAGTCCCTTTAATTGTTTGAAAAAAATGAAAACTTATAACATTTGACATAATAATGGGATTGGGTGTAAGGCATTTCAATGTTAAATCAATCATAAGTGTACTGACCAAAATTGTAACAATTTTAAAGTTAGAATTGGAAACTATTTTTCTTGAAATCTACACTGATAAGCAAAGATTTTGATGGTGTATTATATAAAATAATAATACTTTTAAAAATAACATTCTGCAAAGTCACAGATCATTATAAATGAAGATTAGTTTTGTAGCAAACTGTTTATTTTATGCACAGTGGTTTTTCATGAATAATTAATATGCAGTTTTTACCAGCATAAAGCACTAAAGTTTAGTTTAAAAATTAATTTTGTTAATTTGAGCCACATTTTTATCTTGTTTAATTTTTGTATGAGATATTTTTTTTTAAGTGCAACATTACAATTTATAACATTTATGTTAAATAATATGACCTGTTAACAAATGCATTAAAGATGGTAATATGATTCTATGCAGTTTTTGTAAATATAAAAATATTACATTTTAAAATGATATTCTTGTTAAAGGGGCTTAACTGAGGTCCAAAAACCTAAGAAAATAATTAGAAATTCTTACATAATGGATGATCATCTAGTGATCGTAAAATGGTAAAAAAAAATGTAAAAGGTTAAAAAGATATAAACATACTCAGAATTAAATTTAATTGAAAATCCTTTATTTGGTGCCATTCTTTGCTTGCTTTTAGGTATTACAATGAAACAAAAATTTTGCACACAAGTTATTGGTCAAGACCTACATCAAATAGTACACAAATATTAAAAAATATTTCCAGTCCCCCATGTCAAAAATTCTCATTGTAGAACCTTTAACCAAAGTTTTTTTGTTGTTTTTTTTAACAAAAAATAGAATGATATTGAATTATTATTATGATACATAAAATTCAAATAAAACTTTACCTGTTATAATGTACTACAATAAATCCAATCACTATTGTTGATTTTCAAAACTCATTTGTCTTCAATAAAGTTTTTAAACACTGTTCCCGTTTTTGTTCTATAATTAAAATTTTAGAATTAAACACAATAAAAGTATCGATATATAATATAAACGTTATTATGTTAATATATATTATGATACGTCCAGAGCTGCGTTATTGATATATGATAAGATTTGTGGCCGTTATTTTAGAGCCGATACAGTTAGCTCACACGTTACCAGTTTTCTGAAGTATTTATTGGGTAATGCACAGGCTTAAATACTACAGTATGCCCACCTCACATAATAACTATACGTATTGTACTACTTTGTGAAATATACACTGTTATTTACTAGTACAGTATTGGTTGTCCCTCTACAATAGCAGTGGTGTTTTTTTCTATCATTCGATATTTAAGGTTTTTTTCTTTTCATTAACACATCATAACGTAGCATTCTTTTATTAATATATACTACATTGAACATGTTCTACCATAATTTTCTATAAGAAGATAATCAAGTGTGCCTGTTAAATACTGCACTTCTTGAACATTTTTTTTTTTTGAATGACCATACCATGCTATAAAATAAAATAGGTGTATTAACTCCAGACACCTGTTTTAAATTTATAAAAATGCCTTGACTAAAAGTATAATTTGGTTTATTTTTCATCAGTTCATCAGGAGGACTCAAAACATGAGAAAAATAATTTATAATGAGAAGATTGAAATTATAAAAGGATAAAAAATTTGATGTGGTGAAAAATCATAAATCTTTAAAAACAAGAACCATGCCTGCCTGTTTCTTGTTTCTAAAGTTGCATCGGGGAAGAGTGTTGTAGTAAACAATACTCACATAATACAAAATTTTCTTGTAAAAAATATAATTCAAATTTCATATTTCGCTTTGACAGTGAAGATCATTTACAGATCAAGGTCATAATTAAATTATTCAACATACATGCATGTGGTCTCATAAGTGTTCTTTTATCAACATATTAATCAAATCCATAAATAAATAACAGCTATGGTCAAATTGTCGCAAAATTAAGTGTCAAGGTCAATTTAAGGTCAAGGTCAAGTTCATTTAACCCAAAGTTTGTTGTGCCCAAGTATAAAGGCACTCCTTTTATTACTTACAAAATTTTAGCCAATTGTGGCACAAAAAAAAGAACAAACAAACAAAACAACGGAAATAATATGTCAAGGTAATTTATAAGTCAAGGTCAAATTGAGTTTGATCGTCTTAAAGAATTTGTCCTTAAGGTAGTTGTGCTCAAGTAAGAAGATAGTTTATTCGCAAATAATAAAATATAGCCAATCATAGAAAAAAAATAAAGCAAAATGCATGTGAACTTGAAGTTAAAGGTCATTTATGAGTCAAGGTCAAGATCAGTCTGGTCTACTTGAAGGTCTTGTCCAAAGGAATGTTGTGTCCCAGTATAAAGAGTTTTAGACAGTCTATTGAGAAATAAAAAAATAACGACCAATTGCAGCAGCCACAGGAATAAGAACAGACAATTTGACTATAGCAATAGGTTGAAAAAAAGTTCAGCTTATAAATACTCAAATTTTAGTGGTAAAGCTTTAAAAAAGCACAGGAATATTACAGAATACTAATACTGTCATTCCTGTAACTTATTGCAAATAATGTATCCATGAAGTGTACTTGTATCTGAAATAAATCAAACAGAACTCCTCTTATTATGAACTTCCTGCTTTTAGGGTTATGGACCTATTTATTGGGGTAATTTTAATGGGTGTTCAAACATCATAACAATTCCAGGCAGTCCAATTGTAATATTCTCACATTGAATTGGTATTGATGTATGATAGACCATTATAATAGAAATAATGATGCTTTTAAAACAAGTTATGTATGCAGAGTGTCATAGTTGACGTCAATTAACAAATCTTGTTTTGATTTACCAATAATAAGGTGATTGTTTGAATTTGTTGATAAGTGTTATAATAAGTGTATCCCGATTTTATTTTAGTCATAAGAAGAATATTACTGGTAAAATAGGAGGTCACTGTCCGAAGCTCATAACTCTAACATGGATAATTTAACAGAATTTTGGCCCTTTTTGAACTAATAAAATTTTATATTATCTTGGACTTATAATTGGTCTGTATTAGCCATTCTTGCTACCCCTTATGTATTGAAAATAACTGATCATTTTATTTTTATTGGTCCAATTCAAATTGTAATCTTGCAAATGAAAGTGGAATCATGAAAACTGGTTTTATCATCAGGAAACTAAAGCAAACTGTATTAAGATTGAAATAAAACTGCAGGTTATCAAATTATCATGTTAAAAGAGGGAAAGATAAGTGAGATTGATGAATTAGGGGATAATATTGCTATTAACTAATGTTATTTAAAATGTTATTACAGCTGAGTATAAACGTAATACATATTGCACCCAGGTAGGCCTACTCTGTCAACAAACTGAAATGGTTTAGAGAAGATTGATAATGGATTAATGATACAGATAAGTTGTAAGTTTTTGTCTAGCTAGTAGGTGCAAGAAAACATGAAACAGTCATACATACAGAGCATTGGAAAATATGTGGTAAAGATTGAAGGAAATTCATTTATTTGCATTGCAGAGTCTAAAGATAATTGTCGTCTTACATTTATTGACAGTTGCCATTGATAGATTTGTATTTTGTATATACTGGGGATGATCCAGACTTACCCAAACAAAAAAAAAATTGTTTTGTAAACCTGATAAGTTTAATCTTCATTAAAGTCATACCCATGTGATGTTCAATGTTTCATCTATTTAAAAGTAAAATGTTATTTATTTCATATCGTCTGTTATTATTTTAGTTATTTATTTCATATTGTCTGTTATTATTTTAGTCAGCCTTAAATATATGTTATTATTTTAGTCTGCCTTAAATATATAACCATGCTCAATAAGAACATAATTACATGTATAAGCAAATGATAATTAAGAAATATACTTAGAAATTAATTTAAAATAATATTTTTGTGCTATCATCTGGTCATCAAAGTTATTGAAGTGTACTCTAAGGTAAACTCACATGGTGCCTGGCCAGGTGAAAACAGGGGCATGAGAAAAATGTCCACTTCAATCAAGCTGAATGTTGGCAGTCATTTTCACCTTGTCACTGACATGCAATGGGTGCATTGTTGTATGAATCTATATTGGACTGCATGTTGCAAGAGTGCATTTTTGTATGAATCCATATTGGACTGCATGTGACAATGGTGCATTTTTGTATGTATCCATATTGGATTGCATGTGGCAATGGTGCATTTTTGTATGAATTCATATTGGACTGCAAGTGGCAATGGTTCGTTTTTTGTATGAATCCATATTGGACTGCATATGACTGCTTCTTCCAGGGCACATCGGCTTTTGTTGTGATTATTTGTCGTAAAAGTTTTCAGTCACAGTCTTTCCCTTGAGTACAACATGCATCAGGATTAGTTCATTAATGATCACAATAAACTTTACTATGTATTATTTACATTGTCCCTTTGATGGTGAAGGAGAATTGCTGCATTTCAAATAGCTGGACTGTTGCTTTAATGTCTTATGGTCATAATAGTAAAGCCGCATTTTGTCTGCAGAAATTGTCACACAAATTCTTCAGAAAACACACAAACTAAGTAATCCATCAGTCTTTTTCCTTGTTTGGTAAAAAACATGGCATCCATCTAGATTTAACTTGTTGACTTTCTTGATGATGCCTGACTACATGTAGTTCCGGGCTTCTTTTATCATCCAAATGGTTTTTCTCCCTTAAATGCAACTTGTATACAAGCAATCTGGAAACTTCATACTTTGTGGAAGCAGTTTTCATCATTTGCATAGTTTGAACCAGCGTCCTATCACACCTGATTTTCAGTTTAGTTTCTGGCCTCATTTTTGCTCAGTAACAAAAAGATTCAACAATGAATACTTTCAAAACAAGACCGTGTATTTTGACAGAATTTGATATGATATAGAATGATATGCATTTCTTCTGTTGTAAAATATTTTCAGAACAGAGTAGCAAAATACATGTCCAATGACATTATATTCAATCTTATTGGCTATTATTGAAATTAGATCATTAAAAAATTTATTGTCAATAAAGTTTCTTGTCTCCGAAGGTGGAACATCTTAAATAGTTTTTTTTGGGTTTTAAGAGAAATTTTCTGTCTTTTAATATTGAATTAATCATTAAACAAAAACATTGTCAATAATAATTCCACCCTATATTAGGCTATAACATGAACAGAAAAGCAAATGTTTTCGTCAGTTAAACAATACTGTTTCTTTTGGATTTTTTCATCTGGATGCTTTTTTGTCTTATTTCAGCTGGACTTCCTGTGAAATAGTCACAGGGATCGATGTACTGAATAAAAGTAGGATTTTCGCCTGACTGCCAAAACACCTTTTACTATATCCACATGCAATTGTTTCAGATAATTTAGCGCCCATAGATCACATGATCATGAACTGACCTGATTGCTCACAGTACATTATCGGTTAAATATTCAAATGACCTATGATGTAATTGAAGTAATTAACCAGTAATTATAGTTACATTATTTTCTCACAAATAAATTTGCATGGCACAATTTTACAGGTCATAGTTCAAAGTTTATCATTGAGAAAGTGGCTGCCTCTTCGAAATGAGGTTTGAAGGGGTTTTCTCCCTGCGATTTAATTAAACCCAAATAATTTAAGACATTGAAGTAAAGTTAGTTCACAACATAGAATCGCCTGTCAGTGACATGTTGAAAATGATAAAATAAAAGCTATAAGTTGTTAATAGCTAATCAACATAACGTAAATCATATCATTGAAAAGATGAAAAAATAAATGACAATATTTTTCATGAAAAAAAGTAATGTATTCACATTGTGAACAAAAATGAACAGTTTGAAAGTTCAATCATAGATTCAGGGTCAAGATCTTAACTAACAACTGAAATAGTTATTTATAATAAGCAAATTTAATTTTTAATGTTAAATGCCTAATATCTTATTGGTCCTTTATAATAAATAACAATTGATTCCGACTTAGAACTAACACAAAACTGACATTTTAATCTTAAAATAAGAATGCATTTTTAAAGAGCAGATGGGGGCGTCCTGGCCGAGTGGTTAAAGTCGTTGACTTCAAACCACTTGCCCCTCACCACTGTGGGTTTGAATCCTGACAGGGACTTTGGATTCTTTCATGTGAGGAAGCTTATAATCCAGCTAGCTTACGGAATGTCGGTGGTTCTACTCAGGTGCCCGTTCGTGCCTGAAATAAAGCAAGGAAGGGC